GCCTGAACATCTCCTTAGCTACATCATTCAGTTCCTTAAGTGTGTTGTTCATTTTCCACATTACTGCAGGTGACAGTGTTGCTAAACTTTCCACAATGGCATAAGAAGGGTCATATTTTCTCCAGCTTCCATCATCTTCCTCACCTTCTTTGAAGCTTTAGCAAGAGTTTCCTGAGGATCACCATGCTTCTGCTAGCATTGTCTTCAAGATTCCTCTAATTTCCCAAAGCTACTGCCACCCTTTAAAAACTCCTATAAATAGTAGTAGTACACTTCCAGGTACCAATATATGTATTAGTTGTCTATTGTTATGTAACGAAGCACTCCAAAATTGAGTGGCTAAAATAACATTTTATCCTTTTTTCTCTCTTACAGTTCTAGTAGTTGTCTGGGCTCAGCTAAACAATGATTACATAGGCTCTCTCTCTCACAGCTATAGTGAGAGTCTGAGATTGGAATCACCTGAAGACTCAGTTATAAGATTTCTGGTGTCTGGGCTGGGGAAACCTAAATATCTGAAAGCTGAAGCAAATGAGGTACTCCTCATCACTCTCAGCTTTATGTGGCCTCTTCACGTGTTCTCCAGTGTATGGGTGCTTCAGGATAAGCAGTGTTCTCGCATAGAGATCAGGGCCACTAAGACATATGTCCCAAGACAGCAAGAGCCAGGCAGAAGCTCTACTATCTGTGATCCAGCTACAGAAATCAGGCAGCTTCCTTTTCCCCATATTTTATTTTTTGGGGGCAACACAGAGGCCCTCCCAATTTCAAGGTTCTGGAAGAGCATTTGGGACTAAAAATATTGTTGAAGCCAGATTTGGAAAATACAACCCACCACAAATCATTTAACTTACTCAAATCTTCAGGACAACTCTATAATAGTAATGCTTACATTTGGTTTGGTTCATTAACTTTCTAGGAGAAGCTTATGTTTTAGCACAGGGAAGGTCTTAAGAATAATGCTTATTAATTACAGAATTGTGCATTTTGGGTATTTTCTGCTCTTAAACTTTGGCTGCTTTTGGGAACCATGTGTAATATTGGCTTACAAAGATGTGCACTGAGTTAGAAAATGAGCTTTGTTCTTTTCCATTCTCATTTGGATATCTCCCATTTGTTTCATGTTTACAGTGTGCCAAAATCTGAGCTAACACGTTATATACAATATCTATTTTATGCCTTTGAGATAATTAGTGATCATTTTATGCAAGACTGTACTGAAGCTTAGAGAGATTTGCCCAAGACCTCTTTTAAGATTGTCATTTGCACCACTGCCACCACCCTTGCACACACAATTCTGTGACCCTTCTGCTTTTCCTTCTCACAACACGTATCATGTTCTAACATGCTAAAGAATGTATTCATTTGTTTAATTTACTTGTTTTTATTATCTTACACCTCCCATTGGGACAGAGGAAGGAAGGGAAAATTTTCTCTGTATTCACTAATGTGTCTCAGTGAAGACTGGTTGAATTCATGACTCAATGAATGACTGCATGAATGAACAGTCCTGCTGAGATTTGAATCCAGAGCTGACTGAAAAGCCTTTAATCTCTCTCTCTCTCTCTTTTTTAATTATGGGTTTTTGCCGTATTGTTTTTGTTGTTGTTGTTTAATCGAATTCATTGGGGTGACATTGGTTAACAAAATGATATAGGTTTCAAGTGTACAATTCTATAACACATCATCGTTTATTGTGTTTTGTGTTCACCACCCCAAGTCAGGTCTCCTTCAATCACCATTTATCTTCCCTTTATCCTCGTCTACCTCACCCAACTCCTTTTCCCTCTGGTAATCACCATAGTGTTATCTGTGTCTGAGTTGTTTACATTTTTTTTTTGCTTAATCCCTTCACTTTTTTCACCCAGATCCCCAACTCCCTCTCCTCTAACAGTTGTCAGTCTGCTCTCTGTATCCATGAGTCTGTCTCCACTTTGTCTGTTAATTTTGTTCATTAGATTCAACATATAAGTGAAATCATATGGTACTTGTATTTCTCTGACTGCTTTTTTTCACTTAGCATAATACTCCCTAGGTCCATCCATGCTTTGCAAAAGGTAAGATTTCCCTCTTTTTTTTTTACAGTTAAATGGTATTCCATTGTGCAAATGTACTATAGCTTTAAAAAAAAAAAAAAAAAAAAAAAACTTAAGCCCTGGCCGGTTTGGCTCAGCGGTTAGAGTGTCGGACCGAGAGACCTGGGTTCGGTTCCCACTAGGGGCATGTGCCTTGGTTGCAGTTTGTCCCTGGCCCTGGTTGGTCGTGCGGGTGGCGGCCACTCGATGTGTCCCTTTTACATCGATGGTTCTCTCTCTCTCTCTCTCTCTCCCTCTCTCTCCCTCCCACTCTATCTGAACAACAACAACAAAAAAAAAAAAAATGAAAAAAAAAACCTTAAAAAAATTTATATATACATTTATTGATTTTTATTTATTTTAAATCCTCACCCAAGGATACTTTTTATCCATTTTTATCTTCAGCTAGAGTGGGGGGGGGGGGACATCGACATGAGAGAGACACATCGACTGGTTGCCTTTCGCACAACCCCAAACGGGGCCAGGATTGAACCGCAACCAAGGTATGTGCCCTTAACCAGAATCAAACCTGTGATTCTTTGGTCCATGGTTAACTCTGTACCACTGAGCCAAACTGGCCAGGGGTACCACAGCTTTTTTATCTATGCATCTACTGATGAGCATTTGGGCTGCTTCCAAATCTTGGCTGTCATAAATAATACTGCAATGAACATAGGGGTGCATATATTCTTTGAAATAATTTTTTTGGATTTCTTAAGATCCTTTCCCAGAAGTGGAATCACTGAGTCATAAGGCAGTTCCATTTTTAATTTTTTGAGGTAACTCTGTACTGCTTTTTATAGGAGTTAATATACAAAATCTATATATAAAAAAAAAACTTATAAAACTCAACACCAAAAACAACAACAAATAATCCAGTTAAAATGGGCAAAGATCGAATAGACACTTCTCTAAAGAGGACATACAGATGGCCAATACACATATGAAAAGGTGCTCAGTGTCACTGATAATCAGAGAAATGCAAATTAAAACCACAATGAGATATCACCTCATGCCTGTAAGAATGGTTATCATCAATAAATCAACAAACAAAAAGTGTTGGCTAGGATGTGGAGAAAAGGGAACCCTAGTGCACTGTTGGTGGGAATGCAGATTGGTGCAGCCACTGTGGAAAGCAGTATGGAGTTAACTCAAGAAATTAAAAAGAGAAATTCCTAATGACCCAGAGATTCCGCTTCTGGGAATATGTCTGAAGAAACCTGAAACACTAATTTGGAAGAATATATGCACCCTATGTTTAGCTAAGATTTGAAAGCAGCCCAAGTGCTTCCAAATGGATGAATGGATCAAAAAACCATGATACATTTACACTGTGGAATACTACTCAGCCATAAAAAAGCCTTTACTTTTAACCATTATACTTTATTATCTCTTCCAAACTGGGGGCAGAGATAATATGTGCAGTCATAGTAAGAGAAAAACCTGTTTGCCTTGAACAACTCAGGGACTTAGAAAAATTAGATATGCTTCTATTAATTATTCTCACAGTAAGATACCAAATTAGCAAAATAGTTCAAGATTTTTAATATTTTAGTAAAACTTAATGTAAATTCCTAAAATTAACACCTAATTTTTCAGAAAAATTATGTTTATTTAATAAATATCTATTATAATTTAGAGTAACCTACATTAGAAAATATCTTTTGGAAGATTTTCAATAAATGTTTAGAATCATATCGCCATAGTTTTTCTGCCTTTTAAAAATTAGTTCTTATTAATATTATGCTGATTTGTTTTTCTAAATATTTCCCCCTTTTCAACTTAAGAAGTCTTTACTTTAGAAGTTCTTAGTCATATATATATATATATATATATATCAGAGAGAGAGGAAGGAGAGAGACAGAAACATTGATTTGTTTCACTTATCTATTCATTAATTGGTTGATTCTTTTTTTTTTTTTATCCTCACCCAAGGATATTTTTGCATTTATCTTCAGATAGAGCAAGAGGGAGAGAGGGAGGAAGAGAGAGAGAGGAACATCGACGTGAGACACATCGACTGGTTGCCACAACAGGGGCCGGGGCAAACTGCAACTGAGGTACCCGCCCTTAGCGGAAACCAAACCCAGGACTCCCAGGTGCCTGGGCCTACACTCCAACCGCTGAGTCAAGCCGGCCAAGACAATTGGTTGATTCTTGTACATGCCCTGACCGATGATGATCAAACCCACAACCTTGGCATATCAGGGATGACCATTCTAGCCGAGCTACCTGGCCAGGGCTAGAAGTTCTTAGTTGTATTTTTCTGTTAAATATGTGTTTCTGTTAAGGATTCAAAAATACTGATTAATTGTAAAACTTAGCATGATTTTAATAACAAAGTTCTTTAACAAAATAATAATCTCTCTATGCATGTAGTTTTGTTTTGTTCATTTCATACTATTTACATAATCAAGGTCACTCATTTCCTACAAGAAGCATACATTGGCCAGTGACTAGCTAATTTGCTTGCTCTCCCCAGCTTTCTATTTTCTCATCTCTAAAATCCCAGGACCAGTTCGGCCTATACTTTACTTCACTCCTGTGTCAGGCCCTAGCAATACTGGTTAGGTTGTTTCCAGAAGCTGATTGAAGTGTGCTCAGCCACCCCACAGCTGCATCTCCAGGCACTTCTAGTTTGCAGGTGGCTGACAATCCTAGGCCACCTTATGGTCCACCTAACGTCTTCCTTCATGATGGGAGTTGTCCTCCAGCTCTGAGGTCAAAACTCCCTTTCTGGTTGAAGTCTTGGGGAGTGTCTGTAGAGCCAGGATCCCGGAGGGTGGAGGGATGCAGACCTGTCTCTCCAGGGTGGGGACTCACAGGAGCCTGTGGGCAGGGTTAGCCCCAGCCAGCCCTGTCCCTGTGAGGCTTTGACCTTGGAGTCTTACTATACCTCCCATCACTTCTTTGTCCCCTCTTCAGTTCTCACCCGGCCCAGACCGCACAGTGATGACTACAGCACCATGAAAAAGATTCCTCCTCGGAAGCCCAAGCGAAGTCCCAACACCAAGCTCAGCGGCTCCTCCGAGGAGATCTCAGGCGCCAGGCCCGGGGCGGTGGGGGCCCCGGGCACGCGGAGCAGAGTGGCGGGCCCACAGTGCGCCCTGGGGGTCCCCGCGCCTCCTGCGCCCCCCGCGCACTCTGAGCCGGAGCCCGAGCCCGTCTACATCGAGATGGTGGGCCGCGCCGGCAGCCCTGACCAGGCGGAAGCCGTGTATGAAGAGATGAAGTATTTCGCGCCCCCCGAGGACAGTGGCAGTCGTGGGGCGGGCTCCTGGGCGTCAGTGTCACCCCCTTTACTCTGTGAGGGTCGGAGCCCCATCACCTTGGAGGATAGAGACGCTGGCTGCCACACCCCTGGGCCCTGCAAAGACGCTTGCGACATTCCAGCCCCCTTCCCCAACCTGCTCCCTCACCGCCCCCCACTGCTGGTGTTTCCCCCAACCCCTGTCACCTGCTCTCCCGCGTCCGATGAATCGCCTTTGACGCCCCTCGAGGTGAAAAAGCTGCCAGTGCTGGAAACCAACCTCAAGTACCCTGTGCAGTCCGAGGGCTCGAGTCCTCTGTCTCCGCAGTATTCCAAAAACCAAAAAGGGGATGGCGACAGGCCCGCGTCCCCTGGCCTACCTGTATTTAATGGATCTCACAAAGTCTCTCCGCCTTCCACACCACCGCCTCCCCCTGCACCTCCTGCCGCTGCCCACCCGCACTTCACCTTCCCACAGGGAAAAGCAGCCACCAACCCAGATCTGCCCAAAGTGCAGAAAAAGCCAAACTCTGCTCCAGCAGCTGGTCCCTGCAGCTCTTTCTCCAAGGTTCCTTACTCCCCCGGGAAGACAGCAGCTAGAGTGGACCACAGGAAGGCCAACTCCAACGCCTCCTCTCCAGTCCCCTACAGCCCGCCTAACTCCAGACCGCTCAGCAGCCCTCTGGACGAGCTCACCAGCCTCTTTAACTCTGGAAGGAGTGTTCTTCGGAAGTCTGCCGCTGGAAGAAAAATCCGGGAACCTGAAGGTAAGCAGACTAGAAGCTATCCCCCTTTTGTTCATTGAGATGGATGGATGGATGTTGGGTGGATGTAGAGGTACATGTATACACATGTATGTGTAATTTAAATAATGGTTGAGGTGATTGTAGTAGTCATTCAGAGAAAATCTTATGCAACCAATAGGCAAGAATGCATATTACCATTTTGCAAATGAAGGCTCAAGATATAAAAATACATGGCAGTAAAACTGGATTCAGTACATTCTTATGAGTTGATAAGTGACAGAGCAAGGTTCAATTTTAATTACTGATTATTTTTCCTCCTAATAATACTTCCTTAGAACATGGAATTGGCATTTTTGTAACATTCTATATTGTTGATTCCCATTTGATTTACACGTCACTGTTAACTCCGTGTGTCCTTCTCTCTTGCTGTCTATCTCACTTCCACTCCTGGTTTCTGGGATGATTACCTGTTTACTACTTTACACATAATACTGTTTACATTTGTATTGTTTTGTATGAATGACTTTCTTCTGCTCAAATGCCGCCTGAGGATCATTTAACGCAGTTCTGTTTAATCTGTGTCTTCTCAGCCTGAGACATGGGTTGCGGCTGACAGTCCACTCCAGTGAGCTCAGTGCCATGCTGTTGCAGCTTGTGTATGCATACATATATGCATTTATTTATTGATTATTTAGTGTCCCTATAAAAGCAGAATTTAGCAGGCAGAAATAAAATGCCAGTCTCTCATTAGTAACCAAAGACATGCGACTTCATTCAGTTGAGGTTGTCTTTATGTGTCAAAGGTGCCGTTTTGGCAGATTTTCTTAATAATTATAAAGAATGTAATCATCACCTGGCTGGTGTGGCTCAGTGGTTGAGCATCGACCCATGCACCAAGAGGTCACTGGTTCGATTCCCGGTCAGGGCACATGCCCAGGTTGTGGGCCTATTCCCCAGTGGGGGCATGTGGGAGGCGGCCAATCAATGTTCTCTCTCATTGATATTTCTATCTCTTTCTCCCTCTTCCTTCCTCTCTCTCTAAAATCAATAAAAAAATAAATAAATAAATGTAATCATCTTCCAGAAACACATTTTTAAGGCTTTTATACAAATCCAGAATATTTTCCAGTGTTCTCCATTATTGGGAAGAATTGCATTAACCATCTTTTCTTTAAAGAAATTGTAACAGGTCTCTTGAGTTACGATGCTGTTAATCTGAGATAGATGGCAACTATTAACATCCTCACTTTACAGAGATGGAAAACTTCAAGGTGAAGAGGTTAAATACCTCCTTTAGGGTCAGGTGGTAGAATCAAAAGTAAAATTTTGACTTATAACATTTTATGTATGCATTAATATGTTAGCTTTTGTTATTTGATTAGGAAAATTCCTTTAGATACAAAAACTCTAGAAAATCTAGAAAGCAATCTGAATAAGTAAAAAGTAGGTCAAGGCTAAGAACACTTAGCAAATGAATGAATAACCTACTTCCTATTTATTCTTCAGACAAGCTAATTGTTTGTTTAGCTAAGAATTTCTTCTTAATTATAGGCCATTAATAAATGAAATTGTCCTTGTAAGTAGGAGATTGTTTGAATTTCACAAGTCGTATGTTTCATTCCAAGGAACAAAATGGAATCTAAGAGAAAAGCATTAAGTGAACAAATTAGCATTTGCTTTTAGAACTAAAAGTTTATTAAAACCTCATAAACCTCATTTTACTATAGATGGGAATTGGGTAAATTATTCTTGGCTCTATTCAAGAAAGTGATGTTAATGAATTTATAGACAGGCTTCATCATTTGGAAACCCTGAAGTCTAGAACTCAGAGCCCAGTGAGAATTACAGTGAGGCCTTTGGGCATGGTGTATGAATTTGCTGATTATATTTCCCTGTAGTGGCCACTAACCAGTATTTGAGGACACATATCAAAACCTCAGGTACAACATTGTTAGTTCAACTCTAAAATTATAAAACGACTATTTTTCTACTGTGGGCTTTTACAAAACACTTTTTAATTTGGAAAGATTGGTTTGAGCCACTTATGACTTTCTCATAAATACATGAATTGGCGACTCCTGTCCCAGCACAGTAGCTATAATAACAGAATACTAACAACATAAGACTGGGTCATCCTCACACACCACATCACTGGTGTTCCAACTATGCAGTTGAGAATTGTGTGCTTCTTGATGGGCTGTGATGTGAGAAATAAGTTTACAGTTTTGTTTTGCTTGTTGTTTGTTTCAAGACTGTAAAGGGGGCTAAAGATAAGATGTAGAAGAAAAAGTCAATGCTGGAGCTTTTCATATGATTGTTAAAGTTTACACAACTGGATATTGAAGTCATTAATTCATTCTCTTCTGAATGAATTGAATGGCTGTTATTCATGGCTTACTGTGGCCTTGGGACTTCTTTTAAATCTGCTACTTTGCCTGCTTTATATTTAAAGATATTCTTATTTTCACCTGAAATAGCTTTCTTACCAAATCACCCAGTGGGTGGCTAATTCACCCTCAAGGCACCTAAATTAATTACAGCTCCTTTCTTATATCACTGTGATATGGGGGAAATGTTTTTTGCAAATTTTGAAGAACAGTTTGAAATATTTCCCTCACGTCTTTGGAAAGTGACCTTGAGAAAATTAAACTGCTCATCACTCTCCTGCTACAGGTATTTCTAGTTAAAATATCAAGTATGCTGAGTTACATATAAGAAATGAAGTCTTTTGGTGTGTAATTCTGCTCCATCAGTACTACATAAACTTAAATGTAAGATTTCATAAATATTATCTTCCTTGAGACAGTTCATTTTCTATAGACTTTTGGGCATTCAGTTTGAGCCATACTAAGTCACACTAATTCCAAGAGTCCAGCATGCACTATAGACAAAAGTGTGAGTGTGCAGATGATAGATGTCACTGCAGCCTGAGAGGAATAATATTAACAGCAAGGAACTGTAGGACATACTATGCTCCAGGCATTGTTTTAATAACCTGTGTAATTCTCATAAGACTAAAGGTATCTGCTACTATTACCTCCATTCTACAGATGGGAAAACTAAGTCACAGAGAGATTAATTGACTTTCTCAAAGTCACCCTGCTCATGAAAGAAAGAAAATGACATGGACACAGTAATTCTGTCGACTGTGGCTATTCTCTTAGCTTCATACACAGTGGTGCCGAGGACTGGACTGCAGAGGGAAAAACAGTCAACAAAGGACAGGGTTTTAAAATTCATATTTGCTCACCTAAAGTGCACTAAGAGTCATACAGTTTGGATGGAGAAAACTGTTCCAAGAACTCAAAAATGCCAAACATGTACTTTACGGCTCATGGATGTGTGTGTGTGTGTGTGTGTGTGTGTGTGTGTGTGTGTGTGTATAAAAGTATGGAATACCATATGGGAGCCACTTGGCCTTAAAATTAAGAATGACTAAATGTTTAATTATCTATACCTTTCTAGATACAATTATCCTATTCATTCACAGAATGGTTTCCATCTATAATATAGCCAATATTATTATACTAATTATTTCTAGTTGCCTAGTTTCAAACATTAATGGACCTGAATCCAGTGAAAGGGAAGATTCATTGTCTTGCTGAGGCCACTAGGGTGCTCCATTGCTCCAAATGGCATCGCAGCTTATGTAGCACATGAAATAAAACAAGCATGTTATTCTCCTCGCATTGAAAATGATCAATACTATAGGACATTGGCAAAAATGCAGTATACCTCAGAACTCCGAACAAGAGAGTGAAGGAGGGCCAGGCTGAATTGAGGAAAAATCTGACTTGCAGAATATATATGTTTTTAAATTGTCTCATTACTTTCTGATACTGTGCATCTTTAGTTCATGATACAGATAGGTAATCAAAAATGATGTGAACAAAAATAATGCATAATATTTCTTTGCATATAGTGGGTGGTTATTAAACACTTAATGAAAAACCTAGTTGAACAACCTTTAGATATACAAATATATTTGATAGACTTAACCCTTGTGGCATTTTTACTTAATAAGAATCACTTAAGCCAAATGGAAATTACTGCTAATTTCAAATATTATAATTTATTGCATAAGCATTTTGAATAAGAATGGAGATTTTAAGTCAGAGTATTATATAAATAAATTTTATAATATAATATTTTTATTCCATAGGGCCATTTGTTTAAAAGGGAATACTTTTTAAATTGATTCAATGGAAAATTCAAATATATACAAAAGTAGAGAGAATATATTAATGAACTTTGTCCATAGCTAAGCCTATTTTATCTCTTCTCCTGCCCAGTTCCCTCCTCCACCATTGGATTATTTTGAAGTATATTCCAATGTCAAGTCAATTTATTAATAAATACTTATAAATATTTTATTACAAAAGTCCTTTAGAAAAAAAGACAAAGATTTATTATGAAGTCACTTTAATTAGTGCAGAGAGATCTGTAGTGAGCATTTCATATCTCAGCTATTCTCCTAACTTCATAGTTACCCTAAAGATGCCCAAATCCATGTGTCTAGCCCTATTCTCTACCCTAAACTCTCGATCATCTATTTACCTTTCTTCTGTTCACCCTCATATGAATGGCCCACATACATCTCATACTCAACAAGGACTAAATTAATTCACTGCCCTTTCTCTAACTCCTCACTCTATAAACTGACACGCCTTCCCTAGAACCTGTGCTTCCTTCTATAAACAAAACAAAACACAAATGACTCTGCTGCTCATGACAGAAGCCTGCCTCTAGAAGTCATGGCATCATTTTTCATGACACAAACAAAATAAATCTCAGGAGTTAGCTTTCCCCAAAACAACACTGCCCTGCAAAATGTTCCACATAGGCTTGGAGACTGCCCTTGACATGGGCAGCTGGTGCAGACAACCCCTTCTGTGACCTCCCCCACAAAGTGCAGAGTTCTAAATATTGCAACTAAACACACTTAAGTATGGGAGATCAACATTCCAAAAGACATAAAAGTGCATCTTAAATAAACATTTTTATGCGGGTTAGATGCTTCT